ATTATTAGAAGAGTAGTCAGTGTGTATCTCTGTGGTGGGAGCATTTGTGAAGAGACTTCAAGGGTAAGAGAAAGCCAGCCATTCAAAGAGCTGGGGGAAGAAAGTTTCAGGGGGAGGAGGAAGTATAAAAAAGTTTCCTGAGTTTGGTTAGACCTCGATACACTTGAAGAAAAAGGAAAGATCAGTGTGTCCAGAGTACAGAGAATGAAAGGGAAAGTGCTTCAAGGTGAGGTAGGAAAGACAAGGGAGCACAAGATCATGGAGGGCTTTCATGCACAGAGTGTGGATTTCATTCTTATCTTATGAATGAGAAGGTGACATGGGTGGAAGCTGAGTCCAAGCAGAAGACCTCTGCAGGCATTGAAGCAAGAGATGGTGGTGCCCTTAGACTAGGGTTCTCTACAGAACGTATGGCAAGAAGCAGACAACTGAAAATATCTTTTAGAGATAGAATTTATAAAACTTTCTGATAATATTGGGTGTGCAAGTTTAAGGAAAGGGAAGAATTGAGGATTCATTTATTCAGCTAATATTAATTGAACACCCTCTCTATACCAGGTCTTGTCCTAGGTGCTGGAGAAAGGAAGTGCTCTAGACCAAAAAGCCCTACCTTCAAAGAGCCAACAGAGAGGGGACAGACACCAAGTACTCAAATATATAATTTCAAGCAAAGGGAGAGGCTAAAAAGAAAGTAAGTAGGGTAAGGAGACAGAGATTGACAGGTAGACTCCTTTTGGGTGGTAATCCAGAAGAAGGTCACCAATGAGAACATAAAGTAGAGAGGTGTGATGAACAAATAGAGTTAGTCAAATGAAAGTCAGGAGCAAGAATTCCTGGACGAAAGGGACATCAATGAAAAAGCAGGCAGGAGCTGGGTGTATCCTACAAATACAAGAAGTCTGCTCTGACTGGAGCAGGGTGCTTAGGAGATGGGCTCAGAGAGGCAGAAATGGGCCACATTATTAGGGTGTTTTAATCTTGGTAAGGCATTTAGATTTAATTAAGTATAATAGGAAAACCTTTGGTGGTTTGGGATAAAGACGTGAGGTCAATAGATGCATATTTTTGAAACGTCACATTGGCTACTTGCAGTGTAAACCCCGTCAGCTGTTTTCTCTGTTTGTAATACAAGTGCCTGACTTAAGTTTTGATTGCCCAGTCATCCACTTCAAAGAGGGCAATCTCAAAAAAAAAAACATTGCCAACCATGGCCTAAATAAAGAACCAGCCCCTCTCCCCATATTTCTTTTGTTTTAGAGATGATAGTTGATTTCCATAACTGACCATCTGGACTGCTTGTTTTTTCTCTTCCTGTAGTTTAAACTCTCACTCTTATGTTTTAAATCCACCAATAAAGAATGAACCCATGAAACCCTAGGCCCCCAACTTCTACCCCAATAAAAGCAGAACCCCCAGCGTACATGCTCTCTCTCTACTCACAACCTTGCTGTGTGGCCCCAGGTGCACTGTGTAACTTCCAGGACTTGTGAGTAACAAACTTTGTCTCCTCAAAATTTCCTGATGGTTATTGCTGAGAGTGTCTTGCATTCATAATAGGAACTAGAAGGGCTGGTCTGGTCCCAACGTTGCTTATCAATAGGCTGTGACCAGCACAAAACACTACTGTGTGAAGTAGTGACTTTAAGGGGCCAAGAAAGAAGGTGGGGAAATAGCTAGGAGGTTATTGCAGTATGGAAAGTATTGAGGTGATCAGATTCAGGATATAGTTTGAAGAAAAAGCCCATTATACTTGCTGATAAATTAGATGTGAAAAGAGAGGAATTAAGGGTGATTCCTGTGCTTTGGCCCGAACCACTGGATGAATGACGATCTTATTAGAAGGGAAAGGGGACTGGAGGCAATGGCAAGTTTGAGATTCTGTTCTGACATTAACTGTCTTGGTTGTAAAATTAGCTGAGATGGGGAAGACTATTGGAGAAATAGGTTTATAGAAAGAGAGTCAAGAGTCCATTCACTGTTCTGCATTATTCTACTTATCATGATAGCAAAGGATTCTAATACATGCTTGCTCCACATTCATCCCACTTTTGGACATTTAGGTGAGCAAAACATCATAAACTCCCATGACAATAAATCATTGTCCATGTTTTTAATTCAATCTCCTTCTCTGCCCCCTCCCACTTTTCTTTTCTTCCTTCCTACTCATGTTTTATTTAGTACCTGCCAGCAACACGGTCACAGTAGCACACAGAATAAAGTCAATGTTCTCATGGAACTTGTATTCTAGTGAAGGGAGATAGAAAAATAAAATGAATAACTAAAGAAGAAATGTGACATAATGATAACTTCTGTGCAGATAATTAAAATAGACTGGTAAGATAGTGGATGGTTGGGAAGACCTTTGTGAAGAGATGATCTGAATGCGAGGAAGGACGAGCCTTGTAAAGATGAGCTGGATAAGCATTAAAAGGCATAGAGAACAGCTAATATAATGGCCTTATGTGTGGGAAGGCACTTGACCTGTTCCAGATGCAGAAGGGAGGCCAGTGTGGCCAAGTTTTATAGGAAAGAGGAAAATCATCATTAGCAAGTCATGGAGACAGGCAGGAGCACAACCATGGGAGGTTTTGTAGCTAGAGAAGGAGTTCGGATTTTATTCTAAAGGTGATAAGGTTGTACTCTTGTCTACTCCCAACAGGGAGTCTTCTTGGGTTTGATTAAGCAAACTTATTGTCATAAGCCACACTTGGCTCAAATCTACTCAGAAGACACAGGAGGGAAAACACAGCTCACCAGCAGGGCAGAATCAGGCGTTCCCCATTCACTAGGAGTCCTTACAGCAGTGCATGCATCAGTTAGCATAGCCACCTGAGAACAATCTTCTCCCAGGTGACAGTTCCAAGCTAAAAAAATATAATTCTCACTGGATGTTTCCAAAGTGAAACGCTGACAAGAAACACTGACTGCATACAATATTGAGCTTTTAATACAGTTTGATGCATCTAATGAAAGTGTTATTAAGATGGAAAAACCTTAACTGATCTCTCCGTAGAGTATGAGAATATGAAACGTTTTCTGGGAATTAAATCTTGAGTATAATAAGCTTTAAATAAAATGCATAAAGTCAGTGTTTTATTGAGTCTGGTTGGAGCCCTTGGTCTGACAGAAGATATTCTGGATACTATACTTCCTCCACCAGCCTCTTGAGAGTTGTCTCCATCATCTCCTGCTGAATGCCAGGTACTATGGGTTGCACTCTATACGCATTATCCCCCAAATCTTCAAAACAAATCTGTGAAAAACTACCATTTTATCAATGATGAAAATCAGGCTTAAAAAGGGTAAATGACATTGAATGTTATGAAGTGGTGGCAGTGAGATTTAAACCAGGACTATTTGACCCTAGAGAGTCCAAGCTGTCTTTTTTTCCTAAATAGTAAATTTTGAATTGATTAAATAAATAGCAAATTGATTGTGTTACTTTATTTTATAATAATATCAGGAATATATGTACAATGTAAGACGTTCAAGTGATATCGGCTCCTCGGGAAGGACAAAGTTCTTATGCTGAAGAACACAGTGGGCAGCGTGGACAGGGCTCCTGCCTTGTGACACAAGTGTATAAATGGACAAGGAAGGGCCATCAGTTGGTAGTCAGGAAGGAGACATTCAGGCACTGACGATAGAGGCTGTAGGGGAGGAAATGAAGGGGAAAAAAATCCTTGGAATCCTGAGATATGCAGAAGTGGTTCTAGACAGTTGTTGCCTGGAATGTTCTTCAACCTGTGCTACACATTCATGTATTAGCTAAGGAAAAGCCAGAAATATTAATTTGCATATCTTTCTGCTGAGGACAACCCAAAGGGAATCTCAAAAAAGAATTGGTTTTGCTAGTAATATTCATATGGTAGAAGTTGTTCTGAGGTCTAGGCACAACCAGGAGAGGCCCAGTAGTTTGCTGGTTGCCAGGCAGCCGTGAGACTCACCCTGTGAAATTTTGGGGGACTGAGAAAGTATTTTAAACTAAAAAATTACAACTGATCAAGTTCTAGATACTGGTTGGACAAGGAAGATGATGCAAACTAATCAAAGTTTAGGAACCCAGATCGATATATCACAAACAATGTAGTTCTAAAGGGCTCTAGAGGTTCTTGTTGCCCTGATCTAGTAGAATCTACTGGAGGCGGCATTCTAGGCAGCCAAATCTCAACTTTGCAGTCCTTGAAAATTCTAGCGTCAGAAAAAAAAAGTTAACTTTATAGCGGCAAAGGCCTAAAACAGCCTGCTGTATCCATCTTCACAGTAAAAAAATATAATTGCTGCGGGGGTTAGATAGACTTTACCCTAGGGCCCCACCTTCCCAGAGTGGTCAAAATAATGCCTTTGAGAGTCATTATTTTCTGCTTTTACAGCTGAAAAATGTCCCCTCCCAAGTGACAATTCTTCTCTTCAAATATATCTTAAAACTAATTATTGTCCTCAAGATGTAAGTCAAACTGTTACATTCTCATGTCTTGTCTTAGCTCTGATTCTCCGAAAGTTGAGATCCTAGTTTGTCTCTCTGAAACAACTTTCTTTACAAGATCTTGGGGAACAAGATGCTGTCTTTTTTAGAATTGTGTAGACGGGTTATTCAGCTTGGTGAGCCTCAGAGATGCAAGCTGCCTACAAGATCCCAGCGAGGCTGCATGCACTAATTATACATACCTTCATTCTGTTCATGTAGAAATAGGAACTTGAGGCTTTGACTGGGCATGGTTGGTATACGGCAATTTAGTGAAAAATAGATGACTAGAGTCAGTACTTCCTAAGCTAGGTCTTTGACCAGTGCCTTTTCTGCTGAGCTATATTTATTTCTCAAACTCAAGTTGGGTGATTTTCAACAGTAAAATAGGCTGGTGCAAAACATGTTTCTAGACAAGAGCATTTAATTTTTTTTCCATTGCTATTTAAATCAAATCATAAAGAGAGCCAACCTCAGACAGGTGGTAGAGACCCCTGCCCTTCCCCCATTCAGGTCTACCTCTCAACTGTGACCTCATCACTGACATCATATCCCCTAAGGCTGGCCCTGAAGAAGGGCAACTGACACCCCTATGGGACCCAGGTCCCTGCAGGGCTCTCCTGGGAGGTGGCCTCTGCAGGACGTGGGGAGAGGACATCACTGGACACCTATTGGTCCCTGCGCCCAGGTGTGCTCACATCTAGGCTTCGACAGGTCCTCAGGTGGCCTTGTATTCTTTTCTGGAGGAAATATGGCACAGGCTAGGGAAGAAGGAGGAGACAGTCAGTTGGTGTCTGGTCGGGAGCCATCATCACACATCATCAGAGTGTCTGTCAAGACCCCACAAGACTGCCAGGAATTTATGCTGGCAAAAAATAGCAGCATCCTTCACTTTAAGAAACAGATCTCTAAACGCCTTCACTGTGGTGCTGACAGATTGGTGCTCATCTTCACCGGAAAAATCCTCCAGGATCAAGACACACTAAGCCAGCGCGGCATCTTTGATGGCACTACAGTCCACTTGGTGGTGAGGAGCCAGCTGAAAAGAACTCTGCCCAGTCCTGGAACTCTGCCAGGCCCCACAGGCCACTGCACCCATCGTTCTGAACCCTCCACCTCAGAGAGTGCCTGGATGCTAGCCAGGCTGGTCCGGCTCGTCCGGAGCTCACCTGATCTACCTGACTTCCTTGGCCAGCTGGCTCAATTCCTGATGGCTGCACCTGAGTCTGCAGCACAGTTCTTGGAAGACCCTGTGTTTCAAGGCCTGGCAAGTGAGAAACCACCCAATACCAGCCATGTTCCTGAAGCCTCAAGGCCAGTACAGAAATCCAAGCCAGCTCTTAAGGCTCTCGAAAACTTGCAGAACCCAGCCCAGCAACAGGTGCTCCTGCAGGCAGACAAACGGGGACTGGAGGCCGTGAAGGCAGTGCCAGGTGGTAACAATGACATGCATCAGGTCTGCTCTGATATCCAGCAGCCCATGCTCTCCACTCTAGCTCCACTGGTCGCCTCCAAATGCCACAACCTAGGTTCAGAGCCTTGCAAAGGGGATGCCAATGCTCACAGCAGTAATGACACCACCGCCATCACCACAGCCTCTGCAATAGCCAGGCCATTGACACAGGAGGTCAGTGCAAGAGTAGTTTCCCAGGGTAGCACCATGGCCTCAAATCAGGCCAATTCAGGATGCAGGCCTGGTATGTCGGACTTGTGCTCAGGCCAGGATCTTCCCTCCCAGGATAGCCAGCAGCCCTTAGGGAAAGCTGCTCTAACCAGTCAGCTGCGACCTTCACCCTTGTGTAGAGCCTTGCATTTTCTGCAGCAGAATCCAGCTCTGATACACCTGCTGGCAACTGGCAGCCCCCTGCAACATCATATGCCAGTACTTCCCATCCTCACCAACCCACGAGCACTGCAGGCATTGATACAGATAGAAAAAGGCCTGCAGATATTGTCCAGGGAGGTGCCTGGGCTGGTACCTTGTTTATGGGGCCCAGGTAGACCACATAGGGCTAGAGGAGCCCCTGAAACTAGGGGTGGAGGACAGAGTCATAAAGCAGACCCAGTGCAACCCACCTTGGTCGTTCTTCAGCTCCTCCATGCACTGGCCAATGCCTGCTCCCAGTCTAGTCAACTCTCACCCTCATCCCCCCTCACTGAAGGCCACTACCAGCAAGAACTGGAGCATCTGAAGGCCATGGGTTTTGTTAATCATGATGCCAATTTGCAGGCCCTCATAGCCACAGGCGGAGACATCCACGCTGCCATTGAGAGGCTGCTGGGGGAACCAGAGGCCTAGGTCCCTCCAGGTGATGCCCACTATGCACCACCCCATGGAGGGGGAGGAAAAGGAAAGGGAAGGGAAGGGGAGGGGAAGTAGCTTATTTTGGGAATTCCTCCTAATCAGATCATGTGCACACTTGCACAGCCTCTCCCTCACCTCCCACGCTTGTTCTACATTAAAAAGATTGCTTGGATCTCGTGTGTGACGTCAATTTGTGGGTAGGTGGGCAAAGAAAATGTTGTTTGGGGGAGGGATTGATCATATTATATGGTCTTGGGTCTGGGCGTCACCTCTTCTCATACCCCTAATCTCAGAGTATTTTCCAAATTTGAACAACAGGTGAGAAAATCCTTAGTTTTTTCAGCATCTTTACTCCTGCTCAATTAGTACCCCAGTTCCCTGCCAACATTACCATCATCACCATAAATTACCTCTAGATGAACTCCAGAGTGACTCTAAAGGAATCCTGGCCTTTGCTGTCCTGGGAAGCCATGACTATGGGCTCTGGAAGCCACTCACTCTTTGACTTTATTTCTGCCTTTAGATCCAGTCTCTTGATATTGAGGAAAGATGTTTGACTTCCCTCTCAGCTAGTCTTATTTTGAGAACTGCTTTTATCAGGATTGTGTTCTCAGGAGGTCAACTCCTACTACTTCTGAAGCTCCATCTTCTCTTACTATTCAGGCTTCTTCCCTTTTTGCTGCAAAATACTTGACTGTGCTATCTTACTGGCTACTGAACTATATCTTTCCTTCTGTCTCTGAAATTCTTGCAAGTACCTCTTCTTTCAGTGACCATGTTTCACCATCCTTTGCAGTCAAAGACTCGCCCCCAGTATGGTATAGAAGCTTTCTCCAACTGTTTCTCATTCCTCATCTTCCCAAATTTTTCTACAGTGTTTGATATACTGACCCTTCTTTCTTTAAGATGCTTCATTTAATCTATTTTCTTTTTCATTTTCTTAGAGAATGGTGCTTCCTGAGATTATGTTACATCAATTCTTTATATATCCTTTAAAGAGTTTAGCCATTTCCTTGGCTGTGGCTCTTCTCTGCTCATGGTTCCTAAATCCTTGAGTCTGTTTGTACTTTCCACAGCCTGCTAGCCTTCCCTTTGGGTGTCCCAGAAGAACCTTTGGATCTGCATTTCCAAATATAGCTCAGCATCTTTCCCCTTGCCCCTATTCCTACTCTGAATTCTGTGGTCCTTATGTTTTAGTGCAAGTCATCAATACCTTCCCAATATATCTATTCTCTTCTCTAAAACTCTGACCTATCATTGAGGTGACACATAGTGTAGGCAGAGGAAGCATGCTCCAGAGGACCAGTGGCTATATGTAACCATGTGGCAGGATAAAAGCTGATGAAACAGAGAAGAGGGAGCATATCGGGAGAATAACTTTGGAGGAAACGAGGGACTAAAAATTCAGAGCAAGCCCCAGGCATCAATTGAGCCTGAGATGAGAAACAGCTGAATCTCCTGCTTCCTGGGGGCCAGGGAGGATGGACATCTCTGATCTAGTTACTGTGACTTAATTGTGTTGTGATGCAACACGAACTTAGAGACCTGAAGGTTGTGGAGGTCAGGGACTGTGGATAAAACACTTCGAGGACCTCACTTCCCAGCAATGAGTTTGGTGCACAGTTTTCTCTTCATTTCCCTGTAGCAGCAGGATGTTGGTCTGAATTTCTGAGATCAGCGATGCATGTTTGGTCTCAGGGAAGAGTTAGAGTTGCCGGGGTGACGTGATGGCGATGGGCAGGGCAGTATCCTGGGATCCTAGAAGTATGCTTCCCCTCTTCCATCAAGCAAGCCAGACTCCTGAGTGAGGAGGGAGATCTAAGCAATAATGTTAATAGCCTTCCTGGGGGCTGATGTTGCTACCTCTAGTCTGATAGCAACCTACTAGATTCTACAAATCACCCTCCTCCTCTAGGAACTATTGCATTCTAGCTTCATAGTGATAAAAGAGCCAAAACAGAATTTTAAGAAGTGGAGCTTGCTGCCAAGGCTGCAGAATCCTCCATCTTTCTATAGTATTGTAATCTTGGACTTTGTTCAGCAGTGGGAAACTGTGGGGAAGAACTGCTCTGTGCTGTACTCACAGGGCGTCAATCCAGAGTATAGGCCACAGCTAGATCCTGTGCCAAGGTGTTAGCAGCTGCGTGGTCCCTGCAGCCAAGATTATCTCTTTAGGCAGGTGAGATGTTTCTGGAAAAGCCAAAATTAGAAAAGAATATTGGAGGGATCTCTGCTAAAATAATTCCTTTCTGTAATACCAGTGTTGGAGGGGGCTTAAAGGTTTAGGGAAAGAGGAAGCATCCTGGGTAGAATGGGTGGGCTGAATCCCACAATGTTTGCATACACATGCATCAAGTCACAGAACAATACACAATGAAAAATATGGCCACTGAGACATATAATAGACTTATAAACTAGAGTTACAACAGATCACGTGGAGGATATTACACTGCCCCGCGATTATAATACTGTAGAAAATAAACTTTGATAGCCCTGTTCATAAATTTTCAGTCAGGCATTATAAGAGTTAGAAGTGCAGAGATAAATTATCTCTACTCAACAGCAATTATTTATTGGAAGTCTGTCAGTGGTGGATGTATGTTACAAACCCTTACTTAATTTCAATCACAGACATATAGTCAGTACACAGACATCCATTCACAAGGTGATGGAAAGGCTTAAACATCCGCTCAGAGTGTGGGACCTCCTTTTGACATACATGTCCTTCTTTGCTCAGTGCCTGCTGATATCTAAAGGGGATCCTGACAGCCTCCGACATCACTGATGAGAGTCTCCCTTAAACTGTCATCTTGATATAATCCTGGGGTTGGAGGTTACCTACATCTGGATTACCATCCTCTTTGTGCCACGTACCTGGTGAGACAGCTGGGAATGCCATCCTCATCCAGGTCATGTTGATGAGCAATGTTATTCATATACCCTTTGTCTTCTTTCATTCACCAACCTGGCTCTCAGCTCCACTGGCCATTTTGTGGCTCTGTGCTGGAGAGATTTCCTTTGGTGGATGCCTGGCCCTGATGGTTTGTGTCCATTCTATCCGTGCTCTGGAGTCCACAATTCTTTTTACCATGGCCTTTGATCAATAGGTAGCTATCTGCAACCCATTGAAATATACAACAAAAGGAAAAATTTGGTTGGATACACCAGTTTGAGACAGAAGATGAGGATAGTGTAAAAGCAATGGTGGTTGGTTGATATATTTGTGGGTGGAACTGGGGAGCACTGGAATGCAAACTATAGGACTTGAATATATCTAATATTGGACACATCACTTTGCCACTTATGAACCTATATTTCCTTACCGGTACGTTAAGTCCCTTATAGCTCTATGATCCTGTAAATCTAATCCACAGGCAGGTACATTTTAAGTATTGCTGTGGGTGTTCACAGTCCTGAATCCTGGCCCTGTGTCTCATACTAACTTTCTGGGTTACGGAACTTCACTTTCTTCCAGGAATATTGTGAAGGTCATAGCAGGTGAACACTGTGAATCTGCTTTGGATTTTTTGATCAAATGAAATTAGAATCCTAGAGGAATGAGCATAGAACCCACAAAGATGCATTTCAGGAGCAGGACACAGTTGCAAAAGGGTTGAACTAACACCCACTCCCACTTTCAGTTTCTTTGTATATGTTTTTCTGCTTCTAAAATCATTACACTACCAGGTCCCTTTACATTTACTGCTTTAAAAGACAAAGCGTCTTCACTTTTGTTCCTACACTTTCTTGCAGGTTGGGATTCTCACAAGAAGCATGCATTTATGGTTCCATGTTGGTGATATCTATTCATCCATTCACTAACTTATGCAAAAATTAACTCCTACTATGTTCCAGGCTTACTCCTAATATAGTCAGATCACAAAGTAGGAAATGAAAAACTTTACCTGAGAGTATAAGTAATAAAAGTTTCTCGTTTACTGCTCACCTTTATAGCAAAAGCAATTACTCAAAAAAGTTGTCCACACTCATCCACACCAACTTCTTTTTTCTTATTCTCTTAGACTTGCTACAATTAGGCTTTTGTCCATATTACTCCAAAGTTTGAAAATGATCTTGTCAGGATAATCCAAGATGTCTGCATTGCTGAATCCTATGGTCTTTCCTCAGTCATCATCTTACTTGTCTGTCAGTGATAGTTGACTGATTCCTGTATTTGATACAGTTTATCACTCCCTCTTCCTTGAGACACTATTTGTTATCTTCCAGGACATTTTTGGATTAACTCTTATCTCAAATATTTTTCCCTCTCAGTTTTCTCTGCTGGTTCCTCCTTACCTTCCTGATCTCTGAACCTTGAGGTCCTTGTCTGTCTATTTTCTCTCAGGTCCTTGGTGTTTTCATCTAGTGTCATTGTTTGAAAGACCACATCTATTCTGTTGAGTTCCAAATTCATATTTCCAGTCCAGACTCCTCCCTTGAATTCCATACTGCTACATGGCCCAACCGTTGAGACCTTTCCTATTGAATATCTTTACGATATCATAAACTCAAAGTGTTCAAAAATAAACTCATGATCTTCCCCCAGTCTCCCTTGTCTTGTTCCAGTTTTTTTTTTTACCAAAACCTTTCGTGTTATCCTCGACTTTTCTCTCTTTCTTGATTGCAGTCCTGTTGGTGCTACCTTGAAAATATTCTGAGAATCTGACCATCTTTTACTATCTCCATGGTTACCATTCTGTCAAATCGCTGTAATTGCAATAGTGTTCTAAATAGTGCCTCTGCTGTCATCCTTGCCCCTGCTCCTTCTGCTTTGTTCTCTACGCAGCAGCTACATTGATCCTATTACAGACTAAAACAGATAATATTGAATTTTACAGGTGAGAAAGTAGGTACCGAGAAAGTCTGTCATTTTCCCAAGGCCACACAGTCTGTGATTGACTGAGACAGAGGAACCCAAGCTCTTTGATTCCAGAGTTTGTGCTCTTAGCTTTGTGCTGCTCTACAGCCAGAATCAATCAGTTCCCATGAAAGGAGTATGCAGCAAGTGTGTCCTGTCCTGCTCTGGCGCAGAGGAAGGGACCAATTAGGTTTCCAACACTTGAGGAGTTTAGAATCTCATTTAGAAAGAAAAAGCTCAGAGAATAATTCAAATCACAATAAAGAAATTATCTATAAATTAACTTATGATTAGCACAAATTGAATGTGTCCCTGATGCTGAGAAGTGTCATTAGCATATTACAATAACATGGGAGGCAGAGAGAGGTAGTAGGCAGTTTGCTCAGCGCTCAGAAGGAAGGATTCATTTTTCTTTTTTAATCCTGCATATGCTAGAAGGTGAGTGTGTGTGTGTGCGTGTTTTGTAAGAGAGATAGACAGACACTTAGGAGTGATGGGTGGGTTGAACTCTGGTCCTGGAGATGAGCTATGACATCAGGGAGAACTTGGCAGGGTTACTCCTCAGGGCCTCACCAGGGCTGAATCACTTAAAATCCAACTCAAAGGGTCTCCGTCAGCACAAATTGAAAGAGCTAGACCCAGGGCAAAAAGAAATAAGTATACCAATAAGGCAGGATTCCAAGGTAATTCTAAGTGTAAACTCTTCTCTGCAATTTGAGAATTGCACTGATTCATATGCAAAAATGGGATGCACTTCTCAATGTGGTCCAGCAGAAAAGTTGCTTAAAGCTCCAGTAGGGCTGTGTTCACAGAGCAGGTTAAATCATTCATGTATGTCCAATGATTGATGACATCTGTCTATCCTCAAAAGTTGAATTCCTTTTACGTGTGCACTTAGTAATGCATGATGCTAAATCCTGGGTTGTGGTGATCAGGGAAGTACCATGTTGAGGAATCCTGCTTTCTCCTATTAATCACTAACCTCACTTTACCACAGTCTTGAGTTAAAACTGATTGAAGATTCTTAACATACATACACACACAAAAGGAGACACGGAAATTTTTGGAGGTGATGGATATATTTAATACCTTGATTGTGGTGATAGTAGCACAGGAGAATGCGTGTGTCGAAACTCATCAAATTGTATACACTAAACATGTATGGTGTTTTGTATATCAATTACACCTCAATAAAGCTGTTAAAAAACTGATTGAGATTGATCCATCACTGTTTCAATAGAAATTGATTCACAAAACCTGCAAGAGCCACACATTTCTTCAGATCTTGGTTTGGCTTTTGAGGACCCCCAGGGATTTAATCTTACTCTGCTTCCTCAAGCTCTTTCAGCAATCCTCTTTGCTGGCTCCTTCGTAGACACTGGTCCTGTCCTTCCTTTTCTTCCAGTCTCTGCTTTACCCCTTGGGTCTTTCTTCCATGAGTCCTTCTGAGGCTACAGACATGACTGACCCCAGCCCACGATGGCTCCCTGCGTGTGAACTTACCTCTGTAGCTAGACATGGAGTGTTCCATGGTCAGAACTGGCACTTCTCCTCTTGTTTACTCCATGGACTCTGTGATACTTTTTCCTATAATTGTGTGTATTTTAGAACTGAGGTTACTAAGGCGATGAAGGGCAATTTACAAAGGCACTTAGATTGTGATCAGACCCCCCTGATCCTTCGTAAGGGATAATTTTATGTCTAAAAGAAAAGGGACCTCAAAATGGAGGGCCAGAGAAGTGGAGAAAATACAGTTTTAATGAGCACTATTCATATCCCAAGTACTGTCTAAATATTTTAGAGTTGTTATTTAATATACTTATCACAATAACTCTGTGAAGTAATATAATATAAATTAGTCTTAAATAAGTTATAACTTGGTTGACAATATTTAGAGAGACTATATAACGTTTTCATCTTATATTTATTTAATCAGCACTTTACACGTTAGGCACCATCTTATGTTTTCTACATTCATTAATTTATTTATTCCTCACCACAACATTAAGAGTTAGATATTATCATTATCATCCATTTAACAATTGGCCAAACTGAGGCATAGAAACATTTAGCACCATGCTCAAGGCCACAAAAGTTAGTAAGTAGAGGAACCAGGATTCAAACCGAGGTATTCTGACTTTAGAATTTGTGCTTTTAAATACCACCCAAAGTATTGGAACTCAGATTCAATTTACTTTAAATTTTTTTCTCTTTCCTACTTGGACTCATGAAATATCCCCACCATGAAACCCAGACTCCTTTCAAGAATAGGAAATGACTTGTTCTTTAGTAAATCAGATACTTCTGAGATAAAATTAAAAATATTAACTTTCTCAACTATTCAGTCGCTCAAGGAGCCTCAGAAATAAGGTATTTCAAAGTAATTGTTGATATTTCCAGTACAGCTGGCCTTTCCTTTTCCTTCTAGTGCTTCTGCCCAATGTAAACACCTTCCTCTCCTATCATAGGTCTTCATATCATGTAAATGCATAAAGACTGTTACCATACCTATTTGTTTTTCTCATCCCCAACCTCTGCTCAGAGCTCATAATGAGACTTTCTCTAGGTGAAGTAGTCTTAGAAGTCGACTCCGAATCTCTTTGGTCCTAGCCCCATAGATGATGGGGTTGAGCACAGGAGGCACCAGCACATAGAGATTAGCCAGAAAGATGTGCACAGGCTTGGGGACTCGGTGTTGGCCAAAGCGGTGGGTGAGGAAGGAGAAGAAGGCAGGAATGTAGAAGACCAGGATGACCCCGAGGTGGGAGCCACAAGTACTCAAAGCCTTGTGCTGGGCATCGTGGGATGGAAGATGAAAGACAGCACGAAGGATAAAACCATAGGAGATAGCTATGAGAATCGAATCCAGACCCACAGCCAGCAGGGCCACAGTCAGCCCATAGACAATATTGACAGTGATATTGGCACAGGCCAGTCGAGCAATGCCCATATGCTCACAGTATGTGTGTGCCATGACACGGTGCTGACAGTAGGGCAGTCGCCTCAGCAAGAAGATGAAGGGGGAGACAACGGCCACACTACGGAATATCCCCACAAGGCCAATTCGGCCTATGATGCTATGATTGAGAATTGTTGTGTAACTCAGCGGATGGCAGATAGCCACATATCGATCAAAAGCCATGGCAAGAAGAATCGAAGACTCCAGGGCATAGATAGAATGGATGCAAAACATCTGGGCCAGGCATCCACCAAAGGAAATCTCACCAGCCTGCAGCCACAAAATGGCCAGCGTTTTGGGCACAGTGGTGGAGCTGAGAGCCAGGTCGGTGAGTGAGAGAAGGCAAAGGAAGATGTACATCGGGGCATGAAGCACCCTGTCTGTCATAATGATAAAGATGAGAGTGACATTCCCAGCCAGTGCTACCAGGTACATGGCACAAAAGGGGATGGCAATCCAGGTGTGGGCCCACTCCAGCCCTGGGATCCCTGTCAGGAAGAGAGTGGCTGGGAGGTTGTTGTCACTGATGTTGGAAGCTGACATTCTGCTTGGAAAACAAAAGATTGTATCCAAGGTGTGATGGTGCACCAGTCCTGTACCATCAGGTATTCTGTTCACTCACGTAAAATGATGACCTTGTTGTCAAGTAATCTTTTTTAGACTGAGAAAAATATTTGTTGTTATTAACTTCTTCAAGAATCTTAAAAGACTCTAGCACATAATCTGCTTTTTTTCCCCTTCTGCTAATTCCTATATTTATCAGTCATGATTTGAGTCCTACATTCCAAGCACCAAGTTAAGTATTAAGTATTAAGCTTATAAGTATATTATAATAATTAAGTATTAATGCTTATATAAGTATTAAGTATCTGTCAAATCTGGCCCTTCAAGACACGTGTCCCACCACATCTTGAACATTATTTATTAACTTTCAGTCCACTGACATATAGGAATATTGCCTGCCTCATTTCATTCATGCTGTTTCACATGCCTAGGAGGTCTTCTTTCTTTATTTTCCCCTTCTCTATATTTTAAGCTTCAGTGAAAGTGTCCCTGCTTCCCAGAAACCTTCCCTTTGTAATCTGGTCCTCAGTGATCTTTTATTTTTATTTATTTTTTATTCTTCCACTACTTTGCAAAATCCCATTGGGCTGATACTATCTCTTTATGCAATTATAACCTTTACACTGGTAATGAGTGTCTGTGCGTAGATCTTTTTTTTTTTTTTTTTTTGGTGTGGAAGATTCACCCCGAGCTGGCATCTGTTGTCAATCTTCCTCTTTTTGTTTGAGGAAGATTCTCCCTGAGCTAACATCTGTTGCTGCCACAGCATAGCTGCTGATGAGTTGATGAGTACTGTAGGTCCACACCTGGGAACTGAACCTGGGCCACTGAAGCACAGTGCGTCAAACTTAACCACTATGTCACAGGGCCAGTCCTTGTGCCTACATATTTTGATCAATGTTTGCTAACGAATAAATTCTGATAAATCTTGGTAACATGCCACTGATTTTTTGACTTAATGATATAAGAATGTTTCTTTTTATATTCTGTGTTTGTAATGTATCTTCCCAGATATACACCAAAGAGCTTCTTTATATAACTCATCTGAAATGCCTAGAAAGAGTGTAGGCACCCGCAATATGCTTAGATATCTCATGATTGAATATCTACAGTTATTTGAGCTTCATGAAGGTATAGTAAAAGAAAGCAAGGGATACATCAGACATGCTAGATTGAGAGATAGCATTCCCTACTATGGTAAAGTCAGCTCAAAGTCCTGCGTGCCTACCACCGTAGTGTCTGGAAGAAATGGACAGATCAGAATGGTAAAGGCTGATGGAGACAGATTGAGGGAGAAAGGAGAGTGTCCTGGGTTTGCTAATAATGAAGATATCCTGGAAAGGGTTCTGTTTTCACTATAGAAGCCTAGCTAGTATTTACATATACTGTCTCTCTTGGTAACATATTGTGTGCTTAAAGAAAACCTTTGTAGGATTCCAAGAAACTTAAATTCTACCCTGATTCTATAACAAGATTGATGTGGGACTTTGAACAAATCTCTCACTCTTCAAGCAGTCTTAATTTGGAAAGAGCAATGACTCTGTAGTCATTCTCTCCTTTTCTACCTGATCGTTACATGGCATTGGAAAAGTCCCATAATGTTTTCATGCCTTAGTTTTTTCATCTCTGTATTGGGAATGGCATCACTTGGCCTACTAAAGACTTCACAAGACTTCACAAGATTTTATGGTTGAGCAAAAAATAATATGCGTGACATTAAAAATTTGGTAACTCAAAATAATCCCCTTCTTATTTTTTTTTTTTTAAGCTCTTTATTTCCACACAGATTTCTGGAGAAAATAGAGTATCATGATCATTTATACTCTTAACCAATGGGAAGACAAGGTCCAGAGAAGTGAACTTACATAATCCAGGTCACAAAGCACATTAATTGCAGAACTGAAATTAGTTTTTATGTGTCTTGATTCAGTTTCAGGTTTTAACTTCACTCAAATATCCATGAATATGGCCAATATCTGAATTCTTCTCTCTTTCAAGTGATATATTTTCTCTAATATCAATTCATAATGTTGCAATAAATTTATTCATTATATGAAGTCCAAGGAGGTAAAGGGAATTAGAGAGCCCCTCTTATTTGCATGGAGACTTTCACTGCTGGCACCAACTGGCCTTGGGTTCAGCCTTGACACAGGCCTTTGACACTAAGGGAGAGAAACTTGCCTAATGGAGGGCAGAGAGCTGGAATCACTACCATCTTCCTTTCTCTTCTTTTTCCAGCCTATCCTTGCTCCCTGAGGAAGATTTCAAATGGTTATTATAAGCTACTACTCTGTGACCATTTGTGGATGTGAGGACCAGAAACACAGCAGAGTGTTCTTTTTTCTTCTCCTGAGAAACAATGAGATAGGGATATTGAGCAGCAGTGCCACTCTGGTTCACAGTAGGGTCATCCTCCCAAAATTGTCCTAGGTTCTTGTCTTTTGAGGTCCCCTTCTCTGACCTAGACCTCAATAATTTAACTCTGTGTTCTTTCATTGAACACAGTCATTGGGAAATCTGATTTCAAGAACTTACCTGGGTGGTAGACATGCATTTGCAGGTGAAGCATGCTAAGGTTGCAGCTCTATGAAAGGGTGTACGTGAGTGTGAGGCTGTGTGAAGAGAGTGTGGTGAAGCGACAGCTTGTGCAGGAGGTGTGTATATCTGAATGTAATGTGTCGTTTATGGAGGTGAAAGCTGTATTTCTGTGAAGGTTCAAGTGGGTGAGGTATGAGAGAGCAGAGGGGAGTGAATGTGTACTCTGGGTTGAAATGCCTGTTCTTTCCTCTGTTTTCTGGGCTCACTGAATGTCTTCAGCTCAGCTCTGTGTTCCAGCCTCCTCTGGTCAAATGGCTTGGTAAGCGAGATTACTTATTGACTCTCTCTGTGATGCTCAGGTGTGAAAAACAATTCTCTGGGGCTTTGATCTGTGGTGCACATTTTGAGAGGGAGAAATAGAAAGAGGGGTTGACAAAATGGAGAAGAAATAAGGCAGGAAAGTTTCCTGTGTGGCTTCTCAAGGAAAGTGGAAATTAAACAGCTAGTGTGGTATATTTCATTCTCCCTTCTTATCCCTTACTTTCTCTCCTCTTTCCTTGTGTACCTTCTCCTTATTTGTGTGTGTCTCCTTGAACTCTCACTCACTGTGAGTCCACCAGAATTCTGTGTTCATGGATGTGGTGAAAGATTTATGTGAATGAGGCAGCAAGTAATGGTGGTGGACCTGTGCATACATCGTTGTACCATGAGAATTCACTTCAAAATGCAAGTTCACAAATAAAATTATGAATGATTTCATGATGATGACAGCAGAGTGTTAAGAAAAGCACAAGCCCTCTGAGCATGCACACTGTTCAACTGCACAGTTTGTATGAGTTGGGAGTGACATCAGTACTCTAGATGCCTCACATCCCTTGACATCAGCCATCCATCAAGTCCTTGCACTAATGATTCCTTTCATCAAAGACTCTTCTAGAAATAATTTCTCCTCCATGACTGCAGAGTGCTGTACTCTCTTCCCTTGTAAAACACTTCTCTTCTCTGAAATTAATTGGAAAAAGTGGTCTTCAAAATTTTTATGTGGGCATTTCCTAAAATAGTTTTTAAAACACCCTATTCCCCTTCAAAAACTTTAAATTGACATCTAAAAATTATCATTAAAAGTTTAAATAGCAGAAAAGGATATAATGTCCAATATATTATGAGTATTAACACACAAATAAAACTGCTGTATAACAATTTAAAATGTATTCTATGGAATTTTTATGCCCTAGAAATTTCCAACTCACCATAATCCATTTAAAATATATAAGAACAAGCTTTCTTAACTGTCAGAAGTTTAATATTATTGCTTTGTCTCCATGAAGTCAGTCCATTTTCCCACAAATTTACTTTTTCCTTGAATATCTCATTATGATAGTCTTTCATACTTGTAATAATGATATTTATGCAAAATAGAATTATTTTATTTACTCTAACAATAAGCTCCTAATGTTAAATCTTTTATTATTACAATTATTATAATGACATTGATAAAAGCAATATGAAAATCTTTAAATTTTATAAATTATGAACATAAGCCTAATTTTTTGGGGGGTAAACGTGTTCCTTAATCAGATTGATGAAGCTTTTATTTTCTTTCAAATTACTTAATGCATTCACAAGTCAATATTGATTAAACGAGATAGAGTTCACATTCATTATTCTTAATTTTATTTTTATAAAATTAAGTTCTCAGAAGCATTGTTTACATAGATAACTCAGTTGGGAGTAGAGGGAATTTTGTTTCTGCAATGTAAGATTCACACCATAATTGAGACTAACTGCTGAAATAAGCAATGGTCCTAAAAGAGGAGGTTCTGGTTATCTGAAACTCAAAGGAGGACACCCACAGAGCTGGGGCCAAACCTCTGAGGAGGGATTCCAGTAAGGTGGTGCTGGTACATCAATTGGACATGATGAGGTGGGTCCAAAGTCAGGGACAAAGAAAAAGTGCCACTTGGAACTGTTTCTTGTTTCTGTTAGAATCATCTGTATTGCCAAGGGAAAAAACAGGTGCTTGGATGGCACTGAGAGGAACAGAATGTGAATAGGAAAAGGAAATCTCGTCCTCCTCCAGCTTTCCAGTTGGCCTCCAATGCCTCCTATTGGCGGAGCTTAACAGGCAGCCAGCTGGCAGAGGAAAAATGTAGTCCCAGCCAAGACATCACCAAGCAGAGCACAGAAGGGTGGTTCTGAAGCCGAGAGGCAACAGTTTAACAATTAACACAGTAATCCTTTGATTCATATGTATACATGCATATATTATAACTTGCACGGCATTTTGGGTTTGAGTAAATATAATACATGAATAAAAATCAGAAATAAATCTATTCATTTTGTTAGACCTCACAATAAAATTTTATTATTTAATGTAAGACAAAATTATACAGCTCTATAAAACAGGAAACATTTTATAAGATTAAATAATATCAGGATTGAATGTAATTTTAAAAATATTTCATAATTTGATAACAATAATTTTTAATTGAATTATGCATACTTTTTCTAATGCACATCATTTTTTAAATCCAAACACACACACACAGCACAATATGATGTTGTTATCGAGTCATCGAGTGAACTTGGAAAAATATGGTAGTCATTAAACACATTTCAATTATATTTACAAATACTAAATGAAAGCTTCAGCTATTTGGAGGTACTTTTCTTTCCAGTTAACAGCGTATTCAATTACAACTGGGAAGTGCCCTTAAGTTAAAGAGACGAAAACAGCAGTCTTTAGTATTTAAATGTTTCTTTATCTTTCTCTCATGAAACTCCCCTTTAAGAACTTTGCCTTATTGAACTTTAGATCAGGGATGAAAGAGGCAAAACCACTCCCACTGCTCTGCCTATTTTACAATATATTTATATTCAGAACATCCGAACACTGACCAAATGCTCTGGGTATGAAACAAAGGCTTGCTTCAATCCAGGGAGCTTTTATTCAAGAAAATGGCTGAATTTTTATGAGATCAATGGCTTTGTGTCATTTTAATTTACCCTAATCCCATCCCCCACTCTCCAGCCCCGCAGTAACCTTAGAAAATAACAACCTCCTTTCACAGTGAAAACCAGTAGCCCCATGGCATCCAGAGGGAGCAGATTGGGGCTGGAACTCTTTCAAAATCTCTTTTTCAGAAAATTTTCATTCTTTGACCTGTCCAGTGGTTCCCTTGAAGACATCACTTGCAAAGCTGTCTATGTTTGATCTGATCCAGAGCTCTCCCAGTGCAGTCTATTCCCTGTGGATGATTATAAAAAGCAACTGCAGACCATCAGTTAACTTTGCAGCCACCTGAGATAGTGGATAACAGTTGGGGCAAACCAACAATAAACAAACCTAAAAGCTAAAACTTAGGAATAGTTGAAGAATGAGATATTTATAAGGGCTTTGAACAGTTTTGCCATATCCCTGGGGACATAGAGAGATCCTGGTGCATCCCCAGGAGTCTGCACAGGCTTAGGGCTGTAGGTATGCCCAGAAAAGATCTGAGAAAGCCCTAAGCTCTCACTCCAGGCTCACCTGGAGGCTCTGCACAGGCAGGAAGTGAAAGCTAAAGTAGAGTTGTGAACTGAGTGTCTGAGTGTTGAAGTGCCCCAACATTCCTATGGAGCTCTGATCAAAGCCAGAAAGACTGTGCTTTCCAGGCAGGTGAGGAAATCTCTTTCCAGTTATTAACACACTACTAAGCTATGTAAGCGGAGACTTCAGTGACTACAAATGAAGAAGAATTGATGTTACAAAATTAATTCAGAAAATCACTAAAATAACAACAACAATGACAAGAACAAATAAAAATACAAGTAAACCCTGGGGAGAAAGAAGAATCTGATTTCCAGAGTTGCCACGTTATGTTATCTATAATGTCTAGTTTTTAACAAAACATTCAGGACATAAAAAGAAACAAAAAAGTATGGCCAATACACAGGGAGGAAAAATACCAATAGAAACTGTCTCTGAAGAAGCCCCAACACTGGACTTACTAAATCCAAACTTTAAGCTACCTATTTTAAATACGCTCAAAGAACTAAAGGAAACTATGAGACTGCGAATATCAGTAAAGAGATAGAAATTCTTTTTATAAATTCTGGAGTTCAAAGTATAATAACTGAAATGAAAAATTCGCTGAAAATGCTCAGCAGAATATTTGACAAGACAAAAGACAGAAATAGCAAACTTGAAAATTGGACAATTGAGATTATCCAGTCTGAGTAACTGAAAAACAAAAAAGAATGAAGGAAAAGGAATAGATCCTCAGAAAACTGTGAGACATAATCGAGAATATCCATACACATATATGGAAATCTCAGAAGGAGAGGAGGGAGGAAGAAAGAATAGTTGAAGAAATCAAGGCCAAAACTCTCCAAAATTGAGGAAAACATTAATTTATACATCCAAGAAACTCAACAAATCCTGAATAGGGTAAACTAAAGAATGCACTTAGTAAGCGAAGTCAACACTGGACAAGGGACTGTTGAGAGAAAGGCCCTTGGACTCTGAACAGACTTCTCTAAATCCTTAATGAGGGATCAATTTATGGCTAAAAGGAAATGAAACTCAAAAGTGGGGGAGTGGAGAGCCATGGGAGGAAATGTGGTTTTATTGAGTCCTGATTATCCCCCAAGCACTGTCATGCTTTCACAAAGTAGTTATATAATTATAATAATTATGTGAGGTGAGATAATGCAAAATAAGTCTTAGATAAGTTGTAAAACTGAAATAATAATATTTGGAGAAGTTACACAATTTTACATCTTACACAATTATTGATCACATTACATTTCAGGTACTGTTCTATGATTTTTTACATACACTCAATAATTTACTTAAATCTCATCAAAACCTTGAGTTAGATATTACTATTAACCCCATTTTACAGTTCACTGACATAGGCATAGAAGGATTTAGCAACATACTCAAAACACAAAACTAGTATGTGGAAGAGGCAGCTATCAAACCCAGGCAATCTGATTTTACTTCTTGTGCTCTTAACCACTGCCCAGAGTTGTGGAGTTTGGATTCAAATTCACTCCAGATGTTCTGTTTTTGATTTGTATATTTTTAACTTAACATCCCAGTTGAATATGGGGATATTCTACCATTCACCATGAGATGTAGCGTATATCCCAAAACAGGATTGCCTTGCTTTTTGGCAAGTTATAGCCCCTTCTGAGATGAAGGAAAGAATGTTGCTCTGTACTGGGCAATTCAGAATTGCTCAAGGAGCATATTTAACATTATTCTTAACATATCCAATTTATCTGACCATTCCTCTTTGTTCCAGTCCTTCCTCTCATCTCATTCCGTCCCTCTCATGTCATAGGCTTTCATCTCTATAAATTGACCTAGACAATTATCCTGCCCGTTTATCTCTCTTTCTCATCTCCAGCTGCTGCTCAGAGCTCATAATGAGACTTTCTCTAGGTGAAGTAGTCTTAGAAGTCGACTCCGAATCTCTTTGGTCCTAGCTCCATAGATGATGGGGTTGAGCACAGGAGGCACCAGCACATAGAGATTAGCCAGAAAGATGTGCACAGGCTTGGGGACTCGGTGTTGGCCAAAGCGGTGGGTGAGGAAGGAGAAGAAGGCAGGAATGTAGAAGACCAGGATGACCCCGAGGTGGGAGCCACAAGTACTCAAAGCCTTGTGCTGGGCATCGTGGGATGGAAGATGAAAGACAGCACGAAGGATAAAACCATAGGAGATAGCTATGAGAATTGAATCCAGACCCATGGCCAGCAGGGCCACAGTCAACCCATAGACAATATTGACAGTGATATTGGCACAGGCCAGTCGAGCAATGCCCATATGCTCACAGTATGTGTGTGCCATGACACGGTGCTGACAGTAGGGCAGTCGCCTCAGCAAGAAGATGAAGGGGGAGACAACGGCCACACTACGGAATATCCCCACAAGGCCAATTCTGCCTATGATGCTATGATTGAGAATCATCGTGTATCTCATTGGGTTGCAAATAGCCACATATCTATCAAAGGCCATGGCAAGAAGAACTGAAGACTCCAGAGCATAGATAGAATGGACACAAAACATCTGGGCCAGGCATCCCCCAAAGGAAATCTCACCAGCCTGCAGCCACAAAATGGCCAGCATTTTGGGCACAGTGGTGGAGCTGAGAGCCAGGTCGGTGAGTGAAAGAAGGCAAAGGAAGAGGTACATGGGTGCATGAAGAGCACCATCTGTCAAGATGACCAGGATGAGGGAGGCATTCCCAGCCAGTGCTACCAGATACATGGCACAAAAGGGGATGGCAATCCAGGTGTGGGCCCACTCCAGCCCTGGGATCCCTGTCAGGAAGAGAGTGGCTGGGAGGCTGTTGTCACTGATGTTGGAAGCTGACATTCTGCTTGGAAAACAAAGGGCTCTATCCCAGGTGTGATGGTGCACCAGTCCTGTAATAGCAGGTATTTGCTTCACTCACGTAAATGGATAACTTTCCTATGAAATAATCTTTTTCAGACTGATAAAAATATTTATTGCTATCAACTTGTTCTTGCATCTTAAAAGATTCCATCACCTGTCATCCATTTTCCCCTTGCCATTTTGTGTAGTCAAAGTTCATATTTTGAATTCTATGTTCCAAACTCCAAGCTAAAACATTAAGCATTTGCCTTTCTTATCCTTCTAGACTTATCTCTCCCCACATCCTGCACATCTTTCACTTGTCTTTTGTCCACAAATCTGGGGAAATTTCTTGAGTCTTTTTTAGTATATGCTATTCCACTTGCCCAAGAAGCCTTTTTTCTTCATTTTCTACCTCTTTAATTTTTAAACATCAGGGCAAGTGTCTTTACCTCCCAGAGGACTTTCTCCTCTATTTCTTGGTCCTCTTTATATTTTTCATCCTTCTACTACTTTGCAAAATCCTATTGAGCTGTGACTACATTTTACACAATTGCAACCACCACACAAGATGACTGTGTCTGTACCTAAAAATTTCGATCAATATTCACTAAAAGACTCAATTCTGATAACTCTTCATAGCATACAAAAGACTTCTTAATGCTATATTTTTTATTTACTTAATCTGAGTTTGTAACATATCTTCCCAGATATACACCAAATGGCTTATTTTTATATGTCACCAGAAGTGCCTATAAAGAGGTTAGGCAACCTGAATATGCTCAAATGTCTCATGATTGATTATCTACAGTGATTTTAGAACACATCTGTGTGCAATAGAAGAAAGCAAGAGATTTATCAGACACGCTGGCTGGGAAGACAACACTCCTAACTATGGCAATGTCAGTTCGAAGTCCTGCATTCTCACTAGTATAATGACTGGATGTGATGGCCCAAATAAGAATGCCAAGTGCTGACAGAGGCAGATTGTAGGAGTGAGTGGAGTGTCTTGGAGTTCTCCTTCTGCAGACATTCTGGAAGAGTAAATTCTTTTTTGCTGTAGAGAGCCAGTATTATATACATCCTCCATCACTTACATCGTGTACCTAAAAGAGTCCTTTGTAGGATGCCTAGAATCCCAAACTTTAGTCCTGATTCTGTCACAAGAGTGTTGGATGGCCTTGAGAAAATATTTTCCCTTTCCTGAGCAGTGTTGATTTACAAAGAACAATGACGCTGGAATCCTAGTCTCAACTTTTCTACCTATTCACTAGTTAGCATTGGATAAGTCTCACAAACTTTTTGAGATTCAATTTCTTCATTTATAAATTGAAAATAACAACAACTGAGTTACTTATCTCACAGTTATTGTGGTTGAGAAGGAGTAAAGTCTATAAAATTAAACATTTTGGACACTAAAGTAATGCCCTTGCCATTTTTACAAGCTCTTTGCCCATAGCTGCATATTGGAGTGGTACAGAGCATAATAATCATTTTCACTTCTGTCTTACCAAAGGGAAGTCCAAGTTCAGAGAAGTGAACTGATTTAATCCAGTTCACAAAGCACGTTACTGTCAGAACTGAAATTAGGTCTCAGTTCTCCTAATTCAAAGTTTTTACTTCATTTAACTGTCCAGTTTATGGCCAATACTTGAATTCCCATATTTTTCTTACAAGGCACTCTAATATCAGTATCTAATGCTGCAATCACTTTACACATTTGGATCCCAAAGAGACAGATGACAGTGGAGAGCCTCTCTTACTTGCCTGGAGTCTTTCACTGATGGCCCCAGCCACTGGAGGAAAGAAGCTTGGGTAGGAGAGAGTGGAGAGTTGGAGCCATTATCATTTTCTCTTTCTCTCTTTTCCCAGCCTATTTTTGCCCACAAAGGAAGATTTCAAATGGTTATTGTAAGGGAGCTGCTACTCTGGAAGCATCTGTGGATATGAGTACCAGAACGATTAGGTAGAAGTAAGGTTGTTTTCCAGGGAAAACAATGGGAAAAAGACATTGAGCTGGAGCACCACTCTGGGTGGAATGAGAGCCTCCTCCCATATTTGTCCCACTCAGTCTTGTGTCTGGGTCACTATGATGGCTAAGTATTTGAGGTCTCCCTCTGAGACTGAGACTTCAATAATAAAGTCTTATTTTTTTTTTGAACATATATTTTTGGGGAATCCAATTTCAAGAACTTACCTGTATCAGTGACATGCATTCACAAATTGGGCATGCTGAGATTGGAGCTCTGTAACAGGAGTCATATGTGAGTGTGAAATTGTGCAGGAGAGTGACGGAGCAACGGCTAGTGCAGGTGATGTATATTTGAATGAAATGTTTTGTTTAGGGACATGACAGCCGTGTTTTTGTGCAGGTTGTATCGGTGATTGGAGGATAATGGGGTCTGAATGTGTAATCTGGGTTGAAATGTCTGATCCGTCCTCACTGTGTGAGCTCAGTGAGTGTCTTCAGCTTAGTTCTGGGTTGCAGCCTCCTCTGGTCAAGGGACGTGGTAAGGGAGGTTATTTATTGACTCTCTGTGACACTCAGGTATGAAGACCCAGGGGGATTGCTCTAGGGTTACAATTCATAGTGCTTATTAAGGAAAGAATAAGGGGGAATTGGAAAAGAGAGAAAGACATGAGGAAAGGAAATTTTCCATAGGGAATTTTCAAGGAAAGAGAAAATAAAATCTAGTAATTTTTATTTCTCTTCTTTTTGTTTTCTCTTACTTTCCTCCTGAATTCTGTGTATCTCACTGAAATTCTATACATCGTGAGCCCATGTTCTTCTGTGTGCATAGGGCATCACTAATGCTATATACAAATAGAGCGGCAAGAAATGGCTGTGGACGTTTGCTTGCTCCATTGTCCCATAGCCTTCATATTACAAACAAAAGTGCAAAAATAAATTATTAAGAATTTCAAGAACATGGCAGCAAAACACTGAATCGAACACAGAACCCTTCTGAGCATGGACCTTATGCCACTGCCCAGGTTTCATGTCCACAAAGCAAGCCCTGGGAGTGAAAGTCAGTCTTCTAGCCAGATCTTCTCAAATCCTTTGACATTAGCCATCCTTCAAGCCTTTGCACCAAGGTTTTCTTCCACTGAAGCCTTCAGAGCACTGCATTCTTTTCCCTTGCCCACACATATCTCCTCTCATACGAATATGAACCAGTGGTCTTCAAAATTTTTGTCTGAGTACTTTCTCAATTTTGAGAAACTATATACCCCTTCAAAACTGTTAAGTTGACATGTAAAAATCGTCATTTAATATTTAAATAGTAGAAAAGGATATAATGTTCAGAATATTGTGAATATTGACATTTTAAAATAAAACTGCCACATCAGTCTTTTAAGCATATCCTATGGAATCTAAATATCCTGGAAATCTTCTTCCCCCATTACCCATTTAAACATATATGAACAAGGTCTCCTTAACTACCATAAATTTAACATCATTACTTTGTTTCCTTAAAGTTGGTCCATTTTCCTACATATTAATTTTTATGCTTAAGAATGTTGTCATGGTCGCTCTTTATTCACTGTTAGCAATGAAAATATGTATACAAATTGGAAATATTATTTTTTAATAAATAGGCTCCAAGTGTTAAAATGTTCTATAATTACAATTATTTTAAGTACACATTAATACAAGCAATATAAAAACCTTTAATTTCATAAGTTATTAAACATAAACCTATTTTTTGAAAATACAGTCTTTAGGAAGACTGATGAAGTTTTTCTTATTTTTCCTTCAATTAGATTATATATTCAAAAATCAATATTTGTGGGATGAGACAAGATTCACCTGCAGCTATTGTTAATTTAATTTTTATAAAACTGAGCTCTGAGAACTTTTGTTTTTATATAAATAACAGCTAAGAGTGGAAGGAGTTTGCATTGTAGGGAACGCTGCTCTAATAGAGTTAGTAACTGCTGGAATCAACTTCCGCTCTAAGAAAGGTGATTCTGGTTATCAGAAGCTCAAAAGAGAATGCCCACAGAGCTGGGCCCCAAACTTGTAAGAATGGGCCACAGAGAGCTGGTGCTGGTGTAGCTGAGCAATGTGATGAGGCTGTTTTGAGGTAAGGGTAAGAGAAATGCACCACAAACTGGAATCAACTGCTTCTATTAAAATCCACTGCTGTTGCCAAGGATAAAACAGTTGCTTGTGTGACAATGACAAAAATAGAAAACTAATAGGAAAAACAAATGTCTTATCCTTCTTCCAGCTTTTCAGTCTGCATCTAATGCCTCCTATTTGCAGAACACAACAATGTATTTAATTACAGAACTTCCAAATACTGCCAAAATACTTTGATCTAAAGCCACATATTATTCTTAAGGCAAATATATATAAGACAGGGAAAGCAAGCCCTGAGAAGATATATAGTGATTTAATTAATGATTAAAGTGGCTTGCTCTAAGTCCATAATTGAAATTATGTCTTTACGTGTTGCCTACAAGGGTCAATGCACCAGAGCAGAACATGAAGAAGAATGAAATTAAAATTTAAGTGTTTTTCATATGACAGGTTTTTTTTATAGCTAAGTTTGTAGTCATAATCCGAACAAAGTAAATATCAGAGAAACTGATTTCTTTCTACAAGAAATGGTTTACCTGGCAGTTTAGGCTTTGTCCTTCCATCAAACTAGCTCCTATCTTGTGTCTATCCTGGATCAATCTTATCATCTGTCTTCTTGAATGTTATGCCTAGGACTCTTTAATACCCTAGAAAAACTTCACAAATGTCTACAAATTAAGACAATATAAATTCATGGCCTCACACTTCAGCAATCATTCCACTTGATCCAGTTAATTTTCTCTATCATTCTTCTTAAATGCCATTTCAAGCATCTACTGCTTTCTTAGAGCCTGCTGTACCACTTACATTCAGCAGTTTGAATGTTTAGAATATGGTGACTACTTAAATAGATATGAGAAATGAAGGAGAGAAAGGGTGTGTAGAATGACAATTAGGTTTCTGGCTTAGTCAG